CACACCCTGTCCATTCTCAGGACCAGGTCACCCACCCTGGAGCTCCCTACCCTCAGGCCGAGGCAAAGCTTCCCATCTGCCTGATTCGGGACCGCTTCGGTGGAACGGAGTGGCCCCTTAACTGAACTTTCATCGCCCAAAATCCATTTTTAATTATTCAATTAGGTTTATTCTCCAACCACCCTAGAGACTGTTGATAACCGTCCCCTCCGAAAATTCTCAATTCTCTTCACTGACACGACCTCTCCCTGGAACCGCAGAACCTTTCCGGAGGAACTCTCAACCAACGGTTGATTACGGTACTCTGTTAGTCGTAACCTTCTCAATTTAAGGTACTCCACTGGATTTCCAATGATTCGATGGGAACGAAGCCATCAGGAATCGCCACGTTCCAGTATGTTAGATGCTATCCTTATCAGTGAACAATTGGAGAGCATAAGGAGTCATCACGGACAACAACGTGACTGCTCAACATCTCCTTCCGAGAAGAAGTAAAGTTGAGAGGATCGAGAGAAATTTTCACCAACCTCATTCATTATTTTTCAATGCGTACATCGAGCTTTTAATTGTTATAACCTTAAATATTGTCTATCATTATTTTCATTTTTTAGTGTTTTTTTTAATTCGAGTACTGCCCAATGGTTTCTGAGAATAGAAATGAGAATAAACATGAAGGAAGACTAAACTATTCGTTTGGCTTCGGCAATCCCGTATTTCAGAAAGTCGTTTGATATCGTTTTTTTACTCCTCATGTCATTGACTCATGAAAGAAAGGATTTCGAATCAATGAAAGCTTCCGCTCAATAGAAAGTGCTCCCCAAGCTTTCGAAACACGGAAAAGTCGGTATCGTCTTCCAGAGAAGCCAAAAACTCTAGTCTCATCTTGTCGCTCGCTATTCCCTTTTCAGATTCAACTAATATCGTATTGGAATCCTTTCCCTGTTTATCTGTGCACTTTTCGCTTCTTTTCACATAACCACTTGTTCCAAACTGAAACTTACTTTCTCGCTTGGGCCCAGCATGTCTTCCCATAAATCCCACATGGCCGAATACAAACTGCTGTTGCTGGTAAACGCATTCGCAGGTGCGTAGTCGTGATTTCCGAATGTGGGAAGAATTGTTTGATTGGGAAAGCGTGAAAATAGAAGAGAAGTGGTTAAATTCATCACGTTTATGACATCTGAAATGTGATTTTTCATGAAATAAACCTATTGAGTCATAGGGAATACAAAATGCATTGCTTGTGAATCGAATAATGGATCTGGTTCCGCTCACAGCGAGCCTTCTTTTTACAGTCAGATTATTTCTACACAGCCCGTCACGGAATATGAAGAGATTTCTACTACATTTGGTAGAATGAAAACGCCGATTCGCAAATAGGCTATTCCCGCATGTCTTAGGTTTATGTAAAGACTGAATGAAACTAAGATGGCCGATGAAG